CCCCAAAACCCCAAAACCCCAAAACCCCAAAACCCCTGATATTTGTATAAGGGTTGATGTTTGTATTTAGAATTAAAAATTTAGAGGAGAGAATAATGGGGAAAGGATTCGTAGCAAGCGTTCTTGGGCAAACTGCTAACGCATTCACTGGCCAGATCAAGTCATTCGACATGTAAACTACTTCTACTTCTACTCCGACTTCTGGAAATGCAGTCTAATATCTTTCTAGGTATCCAAAGACGATTTCATTTACTTTCAATGGAGAAGAGTAAGCAAACTTTCTAGCATAAGTCTCATAATTTTATTTTCTATTATTCTTTATGAGGTTTTGACCAAAGAGAAATAATTATACAGCAGAAATATTAGAAATCTGCATTTCTGATGAGAAGAAGGAAGTTGTTCAGAAATCTAAGAATTTCCTATTTTAATATTCATGCTATTGTGTTTATAGAGAGTTCAAGACACTGATTGGAGGGACTGTATCTTTAGTCATCAAAGTAGTTATCATCATGTACTCCTATTTGATGCTTCGGATTATGATTGGTAAGTCTTCAAATAAACTTCTTAAGCCAAGGAGACTATTGAATCGCTTTATTCCTTTCTCTCTTTCTTATATGATAAACTATTTTATCAATATTCACTATCATCATGAAGATCTGCAGATTAGTAATTATTGCCTGAATAGCAAATTTGAAGCAGACCTTTCTAAATTTTTCAAAATCTCCAAATGCATTAGGGCATTATAATTACGGAAAATTCTTGGGCTTTTTCTTCAAATTGCAAGAGCAATTTTCTTAAGGCTATTGTCTTGACTTGATCCAAATAAATATCTTTATGCTCGATTAGGGTAGAGGGAATTTTTACTCATTCTCAGTCATTCTATTAGTCTTCATTATTTTTGTTACCAAATCTTGGTAAGGGTTTAATCTTTAGACAGAAAAGACACTCAGAAGAGTGTAAACACCATTGTGACAGGTACGAGTTTGATCCTATTCTAGATATTCTGAACGACAACAATCCTGTGTTCATAAAGTAAGCAAGGTTAGCCAAGGTTTAGTGTGTCTGACTTCCAGTTCGCAGTCCAGATTAGCGTGGAAGGAGATAGTGAATTTGACATTAGAAATAATGAATATGCAGCGATAGAATTATTCCAGTGGACCAAGAATACAAGTAGGAGAGTTATAAATTGGGGTCTGACTTATCTCTAGCAACTGGCGAACTTCAATCAACCGAGATAAAGATGGAAGAATGTGGAGATAGCTTGTTCAAGTATCACAACCAAACAGAAGTATTGTTGACCTAACTTTTATAGGTGAAATTTCTAGATATCGATGGGTATCTCTGTCCTTCAACAAGAGACTTCTATGTGCAAGGAAATTCATTGTCAGAAGAGTTCTTGTTTATTGAAATGAATGTAGGTAAATGCAGAAGAGACTCACCTCCATGCCCAGATGATCTAGATGAATTTATGAGCAAGTTGAGAATAAAAATCCCATTTGTAAACACTTACTTTGACTTTGATGATTACAATGACCCTGTCAAGACTTACATTGACGGGAGATTCGACCACGGCATAATGAATGGATTCATGGTTGCTCATGATGTATTCCTCCAGTAAGAAGATTCTTAATTTGTAGGAAAAACGATGCTGAGCTCCAAGACAACTACTTCGCTTACCAGCCAGGAGGTAACGAGAAAGAGTTTGTTGGTGTTGATAGAGTCGACCAGAAGCTTGCAATCCAAGATGAGAGTACAGACAATATTGTTTATAGTAAGAACTCGATTTATTTGTGTTAGAGATCCAGTTCGTCAAAGATGCCGCCTCAAAATCTTACGAAAGATCTGTCTTTAGTTTTATGGAGGTCACTGGAAATATTGGAGGCTTATTTGAGATCCTCAGTATTGCTGGAGGGTTCATTGTAGGAGCATTCTCAGGTAGAATGTTCTTATTTTCAATTCTTTCTAAGCTTTATCAAGTTGATTCACCAGCCAAAAATACTTGTAAGTTCTGTTCTTTAATTTTTAAATAGTCAACCTTGGAGATGAAAACCTAAATGTTGAGAGCTTTGAAGAAGTAAATCATTTAGCTTAGCTTTAGATTCAGCATAAAGAAGAACAAAGAGGATTTGAAGGCTCAAATCAGGCAGAATCCAGACACCATATCAGCAACAAAGCTCACAGAAGAATGAAGAAAAGAGTGAGATACGATTGGAAACTCTCAGACTTTGTTTTTAATCTCTTTAGCTCTCTGAAGTGTCTGTGTTTCTGCTGCTGTAGGATGAAGAACAAACTTCATATTAAGCTCAGACACAAACTGTATGAGAGAGGTGAAGAGAAGTTCATCAAAGAATTCGATGCAGTCACATTTGCTAGAAATGCTAGAAATATGAATACTCTGATCAACTCAATGATGGACGAAAAGGAAAGAATGATGGTTATTTATCAAAAGTCTAATGTGATCCCATTGAACTCAGACACTAAGAGTAGTGAGTCAGAGGACCCTTATGATGAAGTGCCAAAAATGTTTTCTTTACACAAGAAGAAAATTCTCCATCAGCATATGGTCAATAAATTCATGGTATGTACTTTCTTGACATTTTTAGTCTGAATATTCATTGGAAACATGGTCAGGAAGAGATTTTAGACTTCTCAATGGAGTTTACAGCAAGCATAAACTCAAAGGTATGCTCATAATACATATTTCTCAACTTTTTGAGTGCTTAACTGTCCTATAGAAAATTTATTACATAAACTTTGTCGTAATGGCAAAGGAGATGGTAAAGTTATATCTAACAGCTAGAATCATTCCAAAAGTTGGGCAAATCTAAGCATGTCATCATCAATGCTTGAGATGTAGAACCAGAATCCAACTACCAGCTACAATCACTAGAGTAAGCAAATGCTAACTTTTAGGGAGTCCAAAAGAGCGGTTTCTGAGTCAACAAGCAAGGCGATGGGCCCAGTTCCATATTTGAAGACAATCAAGACTGAAATATAATCTTATATTCCTTTCATTGTTGAATCAGCTCTATGGGGTTTTGGGGTTTTGGGGTTTTGGGGTTTTGGGG